AAATTGTTTTTTTATTTTTATACACCCTTAGAAGTACAAAGTAATGAATATTGGAAGACATAATGCTAACTATGCATACAAAATAATGAGGTCTGTGTTACCTGATACTGCTCAAGAAGAGATCTTAGACCTCTTTGAAGATAATTTTTTGAAAACATGTGCAGTCAGAAAATATCAGAATGCCACTATATAAATCTCTGGTGTGTTCACACTGTATGTAGTTTTGGTTGCCCCATCTCAAAATGATATATTAGAATTGGAAAAGTTACTGAGAGAGGCAACTAAATGATGAGGAATATAAAACAGCTTCTATACAAGGAGGGATTAAAAAATCTGGCGCTATTCAGTTGAGAAAATAAATTACTAAGGGGGGATGTGGTAGAGATCTATAAACTTATGAATGGTCTGGAGAAAGTGAATAAGAAAATGTTATTTATTCCTTCACATAACACCAAGAACCAGGGTTCACCCAATGAAATCAATAGAAAACACGTTTAAAGCAAACATAAGGAAGTACTTTTTCATAGAGTTGTAGAATTTGTTGCCAAAGGATATTATGAAGGCCAAAAATACAACTGGTTAAAAAATGGATAAATTCCTGGAGCATAGAACCATCATGTGTCCCTAAACTTTTTGACTGCCAGAAGCTGGGACTTTGTCCGATAAAAAAAAATCAGAAAATACCGGACACGTGCAGTGTCCGGTATTCTCTGATTTTTCCGGCTGCTCACCGGATGGAAGCCTGGCGTGAGCGGGGGGAGTGGCTGGAAGACGGAGCCACGATCGGCGCTAGGAGCCTGTGATTGCGCAGAAACCTGGCGGGGGTGAGGGGAGTGGCTTGGACCTGCCCCCGCCAGGCTTCTGATGCGCCCAGAGCGCTGCTCGCAGCCCCACCTCCCAGCTGGGACTCCCCCGCGATTGCCACTCTGGGCACTTCGGAGGCCTGGCGGGGCGGGGGGAGTGGCTGGAGATCTGGGCTTCTGAAGTGCCCAGAGCGGCAATCGCGACCCCACCTACCAGGTGGTGAGTCCCAGGTAGTGAGTCCCAGGTGGTAGGCAGGGCTGCGATCGCCGCTCTGGGTGCTTCAGAAGCCTAGCCGGGGCAGGGACCCCCATCCCTGCAAGGCTTCTGCACAATGGAGGCCTGGCGGGGCGGGGGGAGTGGCTGGAGATCTGGGCTTCTGAAGTGCCCAGAGCGGCAATCGCGACCCCACCTACCAGGTGGTGAGTCCCAGGTAGTGAGTCCCAGGTGGTAGGCAGGGCTGCGATCGCCGCTCTGGGTGCTTCAGAAGCCTAGCCGGGGCAGGGACCCCCATCCCTGCAAGGCTTCTGCACAATCACAGGCTCCCAGCGCCAATCGTGGCCCTGCCTACCAGCCTGGGAGTCCCAGCTGCGAGGCAGGGTTGCGATCATTGTTCTGGGCGCCCCAGAATGGGGAGGGGCTTATTATCTCGCGTTCCTTTTTTTTGTTTGTTTTTTTGTTTGTTTTTGTACCATGTGTCTGGTATTTTTTTGGGAGACCATCTGGCAACCCTATATGGTAATCTCCATTGTTTTAATTAAAACCTTTGCCTAAATGCCTGAAAAAAAATTGTACAAGTTATTGATAGAGAAAATCTGTTTCTCTAAGTAACAGTACAGGTCAGGAATAATGTATGTCTCCTTTACTCAATACATTTCTCTGAAAGAAAAACAACTGAATTGGACACAGTTCATTGTCTGGAGGCTGACTGCCAGTACTTAAAGCATGATATTAGTTAAGACGACGTGATGGTGCTGACAAAGCTGATGCTGGAATATATCCGGTGAAGTCCAGTATGTTAGTACCAACCTTAGGAATTGGTGGCAAATATGGAGATTACACTCATTTGGGAAAGTAGTGTTCAGACAGATTGCACTTTGTGGGCTAAAATTTTGGATTGTATTTTAGAACTGTGTTTCTCAACCTTTTTTTTTTTATAAAGTACCCCCAGTACTTACAGTTTTCAGACACACATACAAAAATGTCTACTATTGCAACACATTTGTTTAAACAACTTAATTGTAGCCAGGCGGGCAATGACATTTTTGGGTGTAAAAAGCACAAAAATAATAAAGCTCTGTAAAACTTAAAACAAAAATTCAGTTTTCTCCAAATTTCAGTTGTGTTGACGTACCCCCCAGACTTCTCTTGAGTACCCCTAAGAGTGCTCGTACGACCGGTTGAGAAACACTGATTTAGAATATAGACATCATGAGGTCCTAACAACAGATACTAAACCTTGAGGTTAGTTTCAGTAAATCATGCTGATGACAAGGGAAATACATTGCTGAATACAGTTTCTTGCAAGATTATATGGTCCTAAAATGAATGTTGGAAAGCTAGAATTTCTATGAACTAAATACATGTGACTATAGTCGAAGACTGATTTCTTACTGGAAATGTTGTGGAGGCTACATGTTCAATCTTTAAAAATGCGAGATTAGATTAAACAAGCAGTTCACATTGCACTGTGGCGTGGCATCTAACAATCTGATAAACTGTAGAGGGAAACTGTGAGATGCCCTAAACTGGAGAAACAGCCACATGACAGCAAGTAAAAGAGAGGGGAGCATTTGAAGCATTTTAAAAGAAAAGGGAGACAAGATGAGCCCCAACAGCCTAAAATGAAATTCTGCTCCTACACACCTTTATTTTTCATTTGTTTAGAAAGCTCCATACTTTAATTTTGACCTGAATGTGCCTTCAGTATATTTCCTCACTCCCCTCCTCAATTTTTTCTAATAAAAGATGCGTATTTCCAAAGCGTGACCTTCCTGTTATTTATGTAACTTAGAATAGAAACTTGACACTGGGAAATTTTACCTTTATTTCCTATTTCCTGTTCCTGTTTAGTAGATACTTAAAATGTATACCCTAATCTGAGCCTGTTTATAAGGCATGAAGTTACCCTAGTTTTGTTTAGCCAAATGGTTGAAACACTTCCAACACTGTATCAGGAATGTTATTTACTCGATACAGTTATGTGGGTTTTTTTTTTTATAGAACTGTACAGGCCACAGCTAGAGGTCATTTACTTAAAAATGACCAAAGTAATACTTCTGAGTCTCAACAGGGGCTTGGTAATCAAATGGAGTGTCTCATCATATTCAGCAGCTTCTGTGCTTTCTCTCTCTCGCTCTGTTGTTGTTCCTAATAATCTGAATTGTGTTTTGCAGAGATTTGGAGAAGTGCTGTTTATTCTTGCTCTTTGTTCTCTGTGACTGGATTGCTTTACTAGTGTTTCAGCTTTTTGCGATATGTTATAATACTGTCTGATTTAAGTGAATTTAACTTGGTTTTCTGAATTACTATTATTTTATAAGAAGATGGTTATTGTGTGTTTTTTGTTATTGTTGTTAACTTAAAACACCATACTTGTAGTTAATCAGATTCAGAGATGTAGACTAATTTGAAGGAGAACTGTTGGTGTTTTATTAATTCTAATTAAAGCGAAAAATGGGCTGGAAAAGATCTTTGATTAATAGTATTTGCCTCTTGGAAATGTTATAAGGCCATGTGGCACATGTTCAGGTCAGCAGATTGCTTTTCTTTACCATTATGCTGCATCACCTCTGTGGATCTTGGAAAATGGTTGGAATATGAATTAGGTGGAGGCAGAGGATACCTGAGATTAGAAGGGAAATACTCTGTGTGAATGTTGATCCCTAAGTACAAAAAGAACCAAGCTTTTCCAGACCCATTTGTGGCACTGGCAGAACTATACCGGCTTCTTTAATCCCTTGGGGTATGTCTACACTACCCCCCTAGTTCGAACTAGGGGGGGTAATGTAGTCATACGGAGTTGCAAATGAAGCCCGGGATTTGAATTTCCCGGGCTTCATTTGCATAAAGCCGGCCGGCGCCATTTTTAAATGCCGGCTAGTGCTACACGCAGCACGAACTAGCTGGCAGCACAGGGCACGGGGTTCGAACTAGCCGGCATTTAAAAATGGCGCTGGCCGGCTTTATGCAAATGAAGCCCGGGAAATTCAAATCCCAGGCTTCATTTGCAACTCCGTATGACTACATTACCCCCCCTAGTTCAAACTGGGGGGGTTGTGTAGACATACCCTAAGTAACTTTAAAGGAGTATTATGTTTTTACTTGACATTAGTGTAGACGAGGCTGTCTCAGAAAGCAGAGCATAGTTTACAGAAGCCGTAATTAGCAAAATACAATTTACGCATTTTCCTTAATGAATTATTCCATAAATAGCATGTTTCTCCAAATCCTTCCCCTATAAGATCTGACTTCCCCTTAGTGTACTGGGGTTCTGGTAGATTTATTGGAGCGTGGTGGTGTCTATGCACATTGAAAAGAACATACCTTATATCCACATTTCCCCTTTGCCTTTCCCTGCCTCCATCAATATGATAAAGGGCTTTCTGCTTCCCTCTGCATCTCATAGAGGGATTGAAGCATATGGATCTTTGACCATATCATGTTTGTTAACTTGTCTGGATTACAACAGATCAAATATGGTTTATGTGTTGTTGTGCTTTATCTTACATGCTTTTCTGTTGGCTTTGGATAGCAGCTTGTTTTCTTTTGAAACCATTTTTCCTGTATTTATTTCCTACTTTGATCATTTTACTGATAAATACCTTGTGTCTGTAGTCACACCTGCTTCTTATTTTACTATCCTAGCTTAAATGTAAATGTTTTTACTGAAATAAATCAGCTTTGCAATTTGAAAAAAGTAGAACTATGGTTTAAGTTACTTATTATAGGTAATATATGTTTGATGGTTGAATATTAAAAAAAATCTGCTGGGCAGAATTTTAGTTTGAATTTTTGCCAGACAACAATAAATTGCAACCTAATTCCTAAAAACGCCCGAGCTATAAACTGTCTGTCATGACCTAACATGCAGATAGTAATAACAGGTTGACAAGGCTAATAAAGTCTACATATTACTATAGCCATGCAATGCATGCTGTAACAGATCTGTAATGTGTTTTGTCCTTCATGTTATGCAGCCCACACATCATATTCCTGTCACAGAGTGTATTAACTGGAGGAAGCCATCTCTGTGGAACACGTCTGTGCCATGAAATTGCTCATGCTTGGTTTGGATTGGCCATAGGTGCTCGTGATTGGACTGAAGAGTGGATAAGTGAAGGATTTGCTACTTACTTGGAAGATGTATTTTGGGCAGTAGCACAACAGGTAATGAAGACATATCTCCATTCTGTTTTATAATGCAGAAATTAAGATTCTAACTGAATGCTTTAAATGTATTAAATTGAAGGAAATTACTATAAATCTATGTAGTACATTTTGAGGTTACTTCTGTTAGAATGCAGATTCCAGTAGCATCATAAATTGGTTTAAAATTCCTTACTTCCACATCTTTCCACACTGAATATGAACCTTTTCAAAGGTATGTCATTGCATATAAGAACTAAACCATATTTTCTCAATGATCATCCATTTAAGGACCTACTACTTAAAAATGCTCCATTTCTCCAGAGTATTTTTTTCTTTCCACTCATCTTTCCCATATCTGAGCACCACTGAAGTCAACAGCGCCATGTGGGTACAGCTGAAACAAAAAACAGGACTGTGTAGCACTTTAAAGACTAACAAGATGGTTTAATAGGTGATGAGCTTTCGTGGGCCAAACCCACTTCCTCAGATCAAATAGTGGAAGCAAATTGTCACAACCATATATACCAAAGGATACAATTAAAAAAATGAACACATATGAAAAGGACAAATCAAATTTCAGAACAGAAGAGGGATGGAGGGGGGGAAGAGGGAAAGGTAATTGTCTGTGAGCTAATGATATTAGAGGTGATAATTGGGGAAGCTATCTTTGTAATGGGTAAGATAATTAGCGTCTTTATTGAAATTTGAGTGTAAAGTGTCGCATTTAAGCATGAATGGGTACAGGAAGCTCTCCTTGCCCAAGAACTCTTCCAGGTTGGACTCTTTATTTCTTTTGTAAACTATCAAAATAATTACCCTTAGCAGAGTTAGATTATTGAAGAGAGAAAGAAAGATGCCCAGCTGCCTCCTCTTCCCATCCTCAAACTCTTCTGTGATCCCCATCTTTACTATCACGCCAAGTTACAAGCTTCTTCACTTGTCTCTACTTTGTTTTGAACCAGCTGGAAGCATTTGCTCTGTACAATTAGGCAAGGAATGGGCAACAAAAATCACAACTGGATGATTTTATTCCTATTAATTTACAAGGCTGTAAAAAGTATTTTTCTTTTTTAATCATTGGATAATTTTGTTGTTGTATATTAATGGGATTATAAATATATATTACATAACAATGACTGCAGCTGAAATTGAAATAGTAATGTAGTTCAAGAGAATGTCAAGCCTTACTTCTATAATGAGAAATCAGAAGCTAGTTTGTTTGTACCTAACAAATTGGCATATATTTCAGTAGCAACCATCACTGTAAATATGCGTTTGGGGCAGGAGGGGAAGACAACAAATATAATTACACCAGCATGACAGAAATAGTAGGAAAGAGGAGTGAAATCAGGACACAAAACAGCTTTCTGCTTTCAAGGCTAGGAAGAGTAAAGATGCAGCCAGAACTGATATGCCAGGCATCTGTATGTTCAGTTCATTTACTGTCAATCACTGAGGGGAAAACAACCTGCCTATCTCCCTCCTCAGGCAGAAATGTTTAACCAACTATTGATTTGATGCTCCCAGGGAAGCTCCTGTTTACTCTGTGCTGGTCATAACCCGTTGTAAAGCTTGCATTTTTCAGCAAGGGTGTGGATGTTTGTGCCGCCCTCTGCTCCTCCTACATGTTAAAGAGAAACAAAACAAGTCTTTCCATCAGAAAATTACTGACCATTGGGGAAAACAACAAACAATGAACTACGTATTTGTATACTAAGCAGCTGCCACATGACGAAGCAAGAGAGCAGCAGGAGTTGAAAGCTTTGCTGCGCTGGAGACGGCTAAGAGATGAGGTGCAGAACTCTGAAGAAGAGCTGCAAGTATTAAGGTAAAAATACTGTGGCATATTCTTTTCCTTTGCATGCGTGATCTCTCTCTGTCTCCCACCCACTGCCTCCGCTGCTTCTGTCCATCCCTCTCCAAAGGAAATACATCCAAATCATCTGATTACATCTACTGCATTTCCTTACTTCATTTTGAAGAAAAAAGATTACTCATCTTCTGCATTATGGAAATTTTAAAGACTTTAAAATATGGGTTTGTTTGATATAAAATAGGTAGCAATATTTTAAGTGTGTCTATTCAGGAAAATAGCAAGAGGCTATTTCCTGAACAAAGTTCCTTGTTTGAAGCCATAATAGTTGCTTTACATTGTGACTGAAGACAAGTACAAAGATGAGATACGGTATCTAACTTACAGGCTGAATAAACATTTAAAAATATATCTATATATCTATAGCTATATCCTTTGCTTAGTAATAACGGAATTTTTCAGGGTTTTGTCCCCTGACATCTAAGCTAGCAACAGACATGTAAAACAAGGGAGCTCTTGCCTCACTAACGATGGCACAACTCTGGATGGGTTTCTTGGGGGTTGCCCTGTTCTTTTTACCTTGGGATAACTGAAGCAGTTGTCTAACTTTTCCACAGAGCCCAGCTTTTATCACTACACCCCCATAGCCAAGAAAACAAGTTTTTTTTAGTTCCAACTCTCATTAGCCGTATGTTACCCACATATCAGCTAGATTCAGAGCATTGTAAACAACATACCTTTCCACTAGAGATTGAAATCTTTTTCCTCTTCAACACATGCAGTTCACAAGCAGAAAAAGCTGTACCTTATGAACTCACGTTGTCCCAGTCAGTGTTATGCTCCAGGCTGTGTTACCAACGTTGCATAATTGTCCTCTTTTAATAGCTTATTTGATGCTTATTGAGGACTTGTACTTCAGACTTGTAAGAGGGGTCAGACAAATTACACATTTGTAAGTATGTAGTTTGATGATAGGTACAAACACAAAAGCAACCCTTATCACTAGCTACCATACAGCTGCTACCAGCACAACTGCTGATTGCCAGTTTATATTTTTAGACTAGGAACCTGGCTTCTGGTGATAGGTGGCTTATCTGGACATTGGCTTTCCTTTGTTTTAGAGTTTAGGAATCATGTTTGCCTTGTTTGACATTAATTATACAATTGTTGCTTTTTAAAAAATAGATGGGAGCGTATGTGTGTACTATAACCAAATAATTTTTTTTGTAGGGACAAAATTCTGTCTCCCATTTGACATTGGGGAAGCATTTACTTGTCTTATATTTTGCCCTCTCCTCCACCTCCCCCCCTGGATATCCCATCTCTTTGTATCTTCCATGCTGCTTGCCTTTCACACAGTGGTATTCCCATATGAATGTGAAACAATAATTAATCATTTCTCCTCACAGATTCTGACACTATTATTTGTTACAGAGTAGGCTCCATAAAGGCAACTCATTGGTCTGGTGATCATTCCTGTCTCCTTGATTTCTGTTGCTCATTTTAACTGCTGTCAAGGACATTCTAGTGGACACAGCAGGATTTAAATGTTTGCCACTGCTTACTGTATAACCTGAAGTAGGTCTCCACTGTTTGTTTTTTATTCTTTATTCTTTATTGTCTCTCTCTTCTTTAAGTATGTCTGTGTAGATCCCAGTGCAAATGTACATGTGACATGTACATGCAAGATCAGAGTCTTTGGCACATGATGTGTCCTGTGCATCCTCATGCTCCCATATGAGGACTAACAGGGTGTGATCCTGACTCCCCTCCTCCAGTTTCCTCTTGATGCCCATAGTATTGAGTTGAAATCCAGCAGTGTCTAACCTGCTGCTCCTTCACGTAAGCTGATTCTTCAGATGGATTATCATCTGCCTCACTGGTAGCCAATTGCTCCAAACCATAATGTGATGAATTTGAAGCCACTCTTACCCCCCAAAACAGAAATTCCCCCTATATTTACCCACTCGTACGTGCTCTCCCAATAAAAAAGAGATGCCCAACTCTGCCAAAGCATTTTTGCCACAGCAAAAAGGTTTGAAAAATGATAACAAGTCCCGCAGAAAGGGTTTGAACATTTTTATTTTCAACCTAGGGCAGGGTTGTGAGTTGTCTCTTCAGTGCAGCAAAAATTTAGCTCCAGTAAGAGCAATCCAAGGGACAAAGAAAAAATAAAATTGACTTTTTTTGGGAAGGAAAGCTTACTTCTCCACTTCCCTGGAACTCAGTATAAGTACAACTTTTTAGCATGGGACAGTGTCATCCTTCTTTGCCAAACTTTCACCAGATAGTAGTGAAGAGTTTCAGGCCTTAATCAATGAGGACCATTTAAGCTGCAGGCAGCCATGGTCACCTCAGACACTAGTGAGATGCCTGGCTAGAGCCATAACGATGCAGAGAGCCTTGTGGCTAATAGAATCAGGCATCCCCATGTCAGTGGAAGCTGCAATAAAAGACCTCTCCTTTGAAATAATTAAGTATTTAGCAAATGCTGTATATTCCATTAAAGATTTGAGACCATCCAGTGCTCCTTGGAGATTTATATATTGGACACATGCTATAGGTCAAGTATCAGCCTTATATGAGGCAAGGGACCCCATTGTACCAAAATAGGGGATGTTTGTGTTGAGTGGGAAACAGAGGTACTCCAGGTATGCTGATCTTCCTCCTCCTCAGTGTTACATTCCCCACCTGGTGCAACACAACAGGTTTGATGGGACTGTTGGGACGTGGGAGCCCAAGACAGACTGTATTATTTGGAAGTCACCTTGTCCTTTTTCACGAGGGTTGGTCATCAGTCATATCTGACAGATGGATGGTAGAAATCATCATCTGCTTCTGTAGCTACCTCATCCAATTCCAATCTTTGCCCCCCAGGCATCCTCTTTTAGGGAGACTTTTCTTGAGAACGTATTACAAACATAAGTTGTTGCTTCATCTAGAAGCCATAGATGAGGTACTGCAGGAATACAGGGGAAGAGGCATTGGTCCTCATATTTTCACATTCTGAAGAAGAGTGTCTTCATCCTGTCCTTGACTTCGGAAGACTGAAAAAATTCATATGCTACCTCTGAGGATGGTAATACAAGCTTCCATTATTCCATCACTTCAGGCTCAGGACTGGTTCGTGGGTCTTACCTAACAGAATGTGTACTTTCATTCACTTGACCCACAGGCAGTTCATAGTAGGGCCCAACCATTACCAGTACAAGGTACTGTCATTCAGATTCTTCATAAAATGGTGAGATTAAATGGCATACTTATGAAGAAGAGGCATCAACAATTACTTGTCATTAGGCAACTGGCTGATCGGAGGCAGGAGACCAACACATCCTATAGAATACATTTTCTCCTTGTTTGCCCAGTTGGTCCCAAAGAAGTCATCTTTCTGTGAGAAGTGATAGAATTAATAGGAACTACTATCAGTTCCTGGTCAGCAGAAGTATAACTACTGAAAATTAGAAAAACCCAGCTATCCGATCCTTGAGCCATGTGCTTGTTGGCAGACATTGCAGGTGGTATTGGAAGTCAGGGTTGTGATTGCTGCATGACAGTTGTATGTCTTTTCTGGAGTTTCTGTGACCAGGGCAAGACAATTTTCCTCAAAAATAGATGTTCCCTCTCTAACAAGTCTTTGCCGGTTATCCCTGACCTGTGTTGCATGTCTCCCAGCATGTTGCATCAATGCCATATCTGTTGAGGTTTTATTTTGAGGATGTCTTTAAAGTGTTTCTTTTGACCTCTCCATTTCCTTTCTCCTTTGGTGAGTTAGGCATACAGCAGTTGTTTTGGTAGGCATACATCAGGCATGTGCACACTCCACCTCAGCTGGTGCTGAATAGTCAGAGCCTCAACACCGAAGATGGCCTCTGTGAAGACACTGGCATTAGTGCAGCGATCCTCCCACTTTATGTTGAGACTCTTCCAAAGAAAGTGCTGTTGCTCACATGTCAAGCTTTTCAGTTGTTTTCAAAGGCCAGTGTAATGGGGCTGAGACTCACTGCTGCAGCGCCTCTGCTGGCCACACTGGGAATTTTCTCTGGCTCTTAGCAGGTTGCTCATATCCATTCCAAAACACTCCCACATGGAGACTATGATGGATCTCCTCAATAATCATTCACTGTTAATGATGGATTTACTCTGTCAGAGTAAATTTTGGTAAGAAGGAACTGGGGGAGGGGGCTGGTTGGCAGTAGGCTATATAACTTGCCATGCTGGTGCCACTCTAGAAGTCTCCACTGCTAACTTACAGGGTCCTGTTAGGGAAAAGCTTTCTGACGACTGTGCATGCGGCATGCTCACACCTAACCTAAGAACATAAGAATGGCCAAAGGTCCATCCAGCCAAGTACCCTGTCTGCTGATAGTGACCAATGCCAGGTGTCCCAGAGGGAGTGAATCGAACAGGTAATGATCAAGCAATCTCTCTCCTGCCATCCATCTCCATCCTCTGACAAACAGAGGCTAGGGACACCATTCCTTACCCATACTGGCTAATAGCCATTTATGGACTTAACCTCCATGAATTTATCTAGTTCTCTTTTAAACCCTGTTATAGTCCTAGCCTTCACAACCTCCTCAGGCAAGGAATTCCACAGATTAATGATGCATTGTGTGAAAAAGAACTTCCTTTTATTTGTTTTAAACCTGCTGCCCATTAGTTTCATTTGGTGGCCCCTAGTTCTTCTATTATAGGAACAAGTATATAACTTTTCTTTATTCACTTTCTCCACACCACTCATGATTTTTTAGACCTCTATCATATCCCCCCTTAGTTTCCTCTTTTTCAAGCTTTATTGCATCTATACTGTCCTTTGCATCTACAGTCATGTCGACAAAGTGGCTTGCTTTGTTGACAGAACTGGATGTAGTCTAGACACTCTTTGTAGACAGAAGCTTTGTTGACAGTATCTGTCGACAAAACTTTTGTCAACAAAAGCCTGTAGTCTAGACGTACCCCCCAGTCTCTTTAATCTCTCCTCATAGGGGGACCCATTCCAAACCCCTAATCATTTT